TAATCTCTTCTGTTAAATAACTGAACATAAGAATAACACTAATGTGTATAATTGTAAAAATTCTGAAAAAAAAAAGCTTTGTTTCTGTTACATTTTTTTCAGAAGAAAATATGTATAAATAGCTGTTAATATAAAATAAAAAAAATGTTTTCTTCTTTGTTCTGTATTCCTTCAGGATATTGAAGATCATGGTTCTCCACAATTTCTTATCAAGGTTGGCTCAAGGTACTGGTATGGGATCTTCCAAAACTAAAGCTTAGGAAAACATACTTGTGGTCATCCATGACACTAGATTAAATTCTTTGGCTATTTCATCAACAGAAAAATTATCTTGTAAAAAACATAGGTGTAGAAAGTGCCATGAAAAGATTTGTATATCTAAATGCTAGAATAATGTTTTAGGTAGGATAATGATTGTTTTCTTTAGATTGTCTTAAGTTGAAAATTGTAATAAACTTGTTATTCTACTTGTGAGAATTTAAAAAAAATTATATTGTTAAGGGTGCCAAAGGTCAGCTTGCCTGGGGTGCCTTTCCTATCCTTGTATCTCTTAGCAATGTTGACTTTTCACTGTGCTAACCCTGTTCTGCTAACCATATACTCAAGCTCATCAGGTATGCTATTAGCTGCTTCCCTCTGTCCCACTAGCCTTCAATATGTGATGTGAGTATCAAATTTTCCAAGCCCTCTTTCCTAATTATGTGCACTAGAAATTTCAACCACCTGTTTCTAAGTATCTTCTTTGGTTCCATTTTCTCTAAAGCTTTGTTGTTGCTCACATGTTCAGTTCATGATATTCACAACATCCTTCTGTAGAACCATATTTCTGTTGTCTCAAGTTTCTTCATCTATAAGGAGACTGTTCAGCATTCAATGCCATATAGGGTGACCAATATTATATAACAGTCCAGTATTCTTTTCTTTTTTTTCTAACAAAATTTTCCTGTTCCTTAATACTTTGCTTAACTTATGGAAAACATCTGTGACTATCCCAATGCACCTTTGTTATTCCAATGAACTTCTGTTAAAATACTTCCCAGATCTTTGAAATTTTTGTACTAGTTTTACCAAAATGAGAATTTTTACTAATATCTAAACTATTTTTTCCATATATCTAAACTATAATTATCCTATTATAATTGTCCCTTCCTTCGTTAGTTCACATGACCATTACGCTCTGCCAATATCTCATAAATAATGGACTATTCCATTTTTATTGCTTGAAAAGAGGGAAAAAGACATTACTTAGTTTCAGTGAGAAAATGCAAAAAAAGTGTAGATGTCAAGAGAAAGAATTAGATTAAACAGATAAGAGCATATACTACACTTTGATCTTAGCCAAGTTATTTACTTGCCACTCCACACTAGCAGGTTGTAAAAAATGGGCAAGATAAAAGAGACATTTTTCAGACACACTGTATTGAACAATGGAAACAGAGTAAGGTAATCACCAAAAATCCAGTCACCATAAATGAAATAACATCGTCTGCTGAATTATTTTTAAGCTATTACTAAAAGAAATGTTCTTAAGATGGGGATTTGGCTAGTAAATTGTAATTTTGGAGAGTGTTATTTTCACTGAAACATATTGGAAAGTTTTCATCTGAAATCAAGAAAATACAAACCAAAAGGATAACAATATATAGAAGAAATAAGGATTAGGATTTGGGTTCAACAAAAAACAAGGAAAGCTACATACCATTCAGAATTGCTGGCTTGACCAGAAAAATTTTATTAGCTACCACTAGTTTGTACTGTTATGAATTAGCCTTAAGAATCTTGTAGTATAGTCATCTTATTAATTTGATTTAAAGTGTATCCAGGCAAAATGCAACTGGAGAATTAAAAAAAAAAATTAAATATAAAAAGTTGGAATTTATTTTAATCTGTACATTATACAGGATGTGATATGAGATTTATTTTTAATATGGACATTACGATAAAATCTTTTGATACATTAATATTACCTGAAGATAGAAAATACTTTGATATTCATGTCAAAGTGTAATGCAAAGGTGTTAGATGAGGAATAGATTCTTGATATACTGCTGAACTACAATATCTTTTGTATGCTGTGTCCCTTCTGAATGTAAGTGAACATGGCTCTTCCATTTTCCTTAAAACTTTTTCATTGCGCACATGTTCTATCTACGGTATTCTCAGCATCCTACTGTAGAACCACATGTCTGTTGCCTTGTTTCCTCTACATTGGTGAGGAAATTGTCCAATATTCACTGCTATATAGGAGGATTGAAATTTCATTGTCCATTACACTCCATCCCAGCATTATATAAAGAATCAGAATTAAGTTCATGTTATCTGTTTATTAGCTAATGATTTTCATATATTATTTCAATTAAATCATGATTTTTTTTTCAGAGTTAAATTTTAGAAAAACATCAATGATTGTTCTACTAAAGTCATGATATATCATTGTGGATATGACAATAAACTACATCTGGCAGCATGGCTTCTCATTAGGAGGTTTTGAGTAATATGGAGCCACCTTTTAATTGTTGTCCCAAAGTGGTAGCACCTGTAGACGAATAGGGAGCCTCAAAACATGAAAATGTAAAAATAGATTAGAAAAATTACCAGCATTACATTTTCATCATAGAAAAGATTTATCAGACCAAAAAATTAATTTTTGGAATTAAATAAGGAGTTGACATGCTATTAAACAAACAAACCAAGTCATTATATATATATATATATATATATATATATATATATATATATTATATAATGACTTAGTGTATCTGAAGAAACAACTTAAAAGAGGATGTTTGACCGATACGTGGACTGAACAAAATTAATGATAAAAAAAACTGAAAACTGAATGGAAAGTTCATTTTCTTCAGAAAGTCATTCATTCTTGTACTTCACTGCTACTAACAAGCATAATTTTTTTTCTCCTGATGATGGCCACGCTGGCTGAAACTAGTCAAAGAATCTAACTGAAATAATAAAACAAATAAATATTTTTATACAAACAAGTGTGTCTGAAAATTTTAATTTTTAATTTCTCAATATTTTTTTATTGTTCAAAACACACACACACATTATATATATATATATATATATATATATATATATATATATATACAGGGTGCAATGGGCAAATTGTCAGAATTTTATATTTTTAAGTGTGCATATGTGCATTGTTTGTTTTTGATTTTGTTGACTGCACAGTATAGTAGAGTCAGTTAGGCACTGTCTGTGAGAAAAAGAGCACCAGGACACAATTCACTCCACCAGAAATTTAGAAATGGCATGCTGTACTGCTTGGCATTCACCCTGGAAGCTCCAATACAAACATTTCAAAGTGTTTCAGTGTCAATGTGGAGACAATGTAGAGGATTTGGAATGAATTGGATGAGTTTAACGGTGATTACAAAGGTGCTTGGAGTGATCACAAGTGATGGTGATATTATGCCTCCATTAATCTTCCCACAAGGTCTCAGACTCAACATGGATGCCTACATAAAGTACCTTGATAGGGGTAGTGCTGCCTGGGGACAAGAGGGTGGCTGCTGAAAGCTCCTATATCTGACAATAGGATGCTGCACAATGCCACACAAGCAGGAGAAACCAGTTATGGCTGTCAGACAATTTCTGCAACTACATCACCCCTTGCACCTGGCCATCTAACTTCCCAGGTCGCAACCCCCTTGATTATTATGTATGGGGCACAGTTGAGCAAAAGACCAACAAAACTCATTGTAGCACCAAAGATGAACTGAAGGCAAGTATTATGGCAGCATTCACCAACTTAAACATGGGGACTAACCAGAAGAGTTGCAGGAGATTTTGAAGTTGTCTGGAGGCCGTAGTTGAAACCAATGGTGATTTTATTGAATAAATTTACTCTTTAGTATTGCAAGATATTTTTGTGTTATATTGATAAATATATCTGTTAAAATGAGATGTCAGTGTTATTTTCATTTTTGCATAATTTAGTTGACAATTTATCCATCGCATTCTGTATGTGTGGTGGTTGGGAGCATAATTGTTTTTTTTGGCATGTAAAGTGAGATCAGCATTCTGGTTAATGTCATTGCATTTGTGTTCATACAAATACTCTTGAAAAATATATGTATCCAATTCTTTTTTCTCTTCTCAGCTATGGGTTAAATAGCAGGAAGATTGAGTTTCCCAGCTTTGGTTATCAACCAGTTCAGGAGAAGAAAACTCCTTCAAACCCGAGGAAAGCTGTTTAGAGACTTTGAGACACACTGTGTACCATTTCTCTATTGTCAGTCTTTTTGAAAAGTATGACTGGTTCTACACAAAACTTCACTAGCTTTAATCAAATCATGTTTCGTTAGTCAGGTAGTTCCATTCTAAAATCTGAAGCATTAGTCCCTTATATATATATATATATATATATATACATACCTTATATTTGTATATGTATATATATGTATATATGTGTGTGTGTGTATTTATTTAAAAAATTATCATTAAGAATTAAGATAGTGGTAATTCTATAAAACAGCATTATAAATAAAAAAAAATGTGCTTTTTTTCCCCCATGTTTTTTTTTTTTTTAAATAATCCTTGCTTAGAAGTGATGGAATAAAAAAACCACGAGAAAATGGAATTCAGCAAATAAAAGAAATACTTTCAACCTTAGAACATGTGCCCTGAAACATTACGAAACTATCAACAAAAGATGAGTGTAAAAGAAGAAACCTAACAAGAAACGGTTACAGATTCTACAGTGATCTTTTCACAGCATCACTAGAGAAAAAAAGTCTTTAACAATTCTTATAAAATCATCTCAGTTCCCCTTGAAGTTATTCCAAAAATAAAGGAAAGTTTAATAGGGAAAACTGCAACTACCATTGCAGTATGTCGTGATCTTACTTATGACATAATGTTCGAATAAGTTATTTCAATACACATTTTTTTTGTTTACTTTTTCCATTCAACTTGGTTCTTTCTTTCACTTCTGTCTTTCCTTTTATCTCTTTTTTTTTACCTTCTCTTTCTTTTAGCCTCTTTTGTATCCTCTCTCTCTCTCCTTTTATCTTTTTCTCTCTTTATCTTGTTTCTTTTTGTCTCTTTTCTGTTCTCTCTTTCCTTTTTCGAATTTCTCATTTGTAATCTTTATCAATGTCTTTTTTAACTCTTTTAATCTCCTAATCTTTTCCATCCTCTTTCTTTTTATTTTTTATAGCTCCTCCTCCTTATTTCCAAACTCTCATTTACAATCTCTCTCTATGTCTTTTCATCTACTCTTTCCTTTTATCTCTTACTCTCTTTATTCCTTTACTATCTTTTCTTTTCTTACATTCATTATCTCTTTCCTATTTTTTCTTCATTTTCTCTCTTACTCTCTACTTCTTTTCTACACTTTGTATTATCTCTTACTCTATCACTTTTCTACCTCTTTTTCCTTTTATCTTATTCTCTTTATTTCTTTTTCATTCTCCTTTTATTTATTTCTTACTCTCTCTCTACTTTTCTTTCATGTTCTTTTTTCTTTTATCTCTAACTCTCTCTCCCAGTTTCCTACCACCTTTTTTAATTTTTATTTCTCCTTTTCCTACACTCTCTTCCTTTTCATCTCTCTCTCTATATTCCTAATTTCTCTCTTACACTATTCATCTCTCTTCTACCCTCACTCTTTCTCTACTCTGTCATTTCTTTGATTTCTCCCGTTTTCATTTTTCTATTTTCTTTTCTTAATTTTCACTTTCTTACTCTCTATTCTTTTTATGTCTGTCTTTATCTCTTTCTTACTCTAACTGCTTTCTTTTAACTCTCACTCCTTCTCATTCATATCCTATTTTTTCCTTTCATTTTCTTATTTAATGCTTTACTAACTTGTTTTTTGTCGTGCCACATAGTCTTACAATATCTTGTTCTATTTAATCTGTTTCTGTTTCTTTTGTAATTTTCCCCATGTTATCTCTTTCCAAGCCACTCACTATTATATTCTTCACTCCAACTCTTTTCTCAATCACTCATTCTCTGTCTCTCTAACTTTAATACTTAATCCTCCACATTACTTTTAATCATTTCATTCTATTTTTCTGGCTTCATCTTTTCTTTTCCTTTTTTTTTCTTGATTCTTTCCCACTTCACTCTCTTCAAACGCTTGCTTCTTTTCTTTTTCTTTCTTTTTATTTCTACTCTGTCTTTCCTTTCTTTCAGTTTTCTCTAAATCTGCCACTCACTTTCTTCTCTGCTATTTTCTTTACCTCTCCTCTCTCTTCCAACTCTTGCTTCTCCCTTTTTGCACTTCTTTTTAGTTAAATCCTTTCCTTTCTCTAGCCACTTTTCATCTCTTTTAATCATTCCCTCTCTAATCTGTTTATCATACACTTTTCTTATTTTCTTTTCTGTTGTTTTCTCCTTTCTTTTTTTCTCACTTTCTTCTTCCCTCCTTTTCTTCACTGCCTCTTTGTCACTAGCTTCCCTCTATGAAACACCCTTCATACTTTTGTTACTTCTCTGATTTTTACTTAAACATTTTTCTTTCTTCTTTTCTATTCACTTTCCTTTCTTCCCACTGCAGTCCTTTGCAGAATTTTTTTTTTTTTCTTTTCTTTATCTTTTCCTATCTTTCTTACGCCATGCCATTCTTATTTTTACTTTCTCTTTTTCCTTTCATTATTTTTCATATTTCGTTCTTTCTTTTATTATCTATGACTTTTTTTGTTTCTTTTGTTTTCTACTGATTTTTGTTTTCTCTCATTCCTTCTTTCTTCTTTTATTCTTTCCTCCCCTCCTTTTCATTTTTTCTTTCTAACATTTTTTCTAAATTCCTGCGTTCTATCATTCTTTTTTAACATTTGTCACCCCTTTTCTTGCTTGCTTGCTTGCTTTTTATCTTTCCTTTGTAACTCAAATTCCTTTTTCCTTTCTTTCCTTCTTTCTTTCCTTCTTCCATCCTTATTTCTGTTCATTCCATATGTTTTTATTTATTTATTTTACTCTTAAATTTCTTTCTTTCGCACTTGCTTTTCTCATTTTTCCTTTCTTTTTGCTGTTTTTTTTTCTGCATACCTTTTTCTTTCTTTCTTTCTTTCTTTCTTTCTTTCTTTCTTTCTTTTCTGATGTTTTTTTCTGCATTGTTCTTTGTTTTTTCTTTCTTTATTTCTTCCCTCTTGATTCCTACGTTTCTTCTGCAATTTTGACATTCATTTTCTTTTTCCTTTCTTTCCTTCCTCACTTCCTTTGTTCCTTCTCCCTTCCTTATTTTCATTCCTTTTTTATTTCCTTCTTTTTTTCTTTCTGCCCACCTTCATCACCAACAGTATTTCTTTCTGTCTTTCCTGCATACATTTGTCACTCCTGATTTTCCTTTATTATTTTCTTCTACATTACAGAAATGATAAACAATTTACTTTTACTTTCCATCCTATCAATAAATCTACACTAAACGCTGGCCTTGATGTCCATCTCTGCAAGCATTCTCATCTTACCTATCGGCATAATTTAGCATCCACCCTCCCCCACTTGTACCCCTTTCTCCTACCTCCCTTTCTTTTTACCTCTTTATAAATATAAAAATTATACCCCACCCAGCCACCACTTCATTAGTTCTGGTAGTAAAAGAGATAGATACTAGCTCTGAGGAATATATTCAGCAGATATCGAAATTAAATGCGCTAAAAACATAAAAGTTCTTTCTAATGTATGAGTTGCTAAGATGTGGCCATAAGGCAGCATAGAGATGGTGGCAGTTGAAATGTGGAGGCGCATTGGTGATGGGGGTAATGGGTGGGACGGAAATGGGTAGGTGGTAGGGGACTGAAAAAGAAGTTAACTGATAGAAGCTCAACATTTTTCCAGCTAGGGTGAACCTGCAATATTACATAGGTTGAAAAGCATGCAAGCAATCGAGATGAATATGATTGATAATCTTGTGTTGTCGATCCAACCAATGTTAATGCTAAAAAATAAAACAAGATAAACAGAGCGGAGGTAAAAAAAAAAAAAAGAAAGAGAAACAGCAAATATATTCTCAGTATGGTGTCTGGTAAGGCAGGAAGATGTTGGTGATAAAGGACAAGAATGTCTTTGACTTATTATATTACCCACCATCACTCAACCCTCCCCAATGTCTTCTTCTTTCCTTATGTTCAGTTTTTCTCCCTTCCTTCTCCACACCCTAAGCTAGTCCAGGAGTGATAGAGATAGCTAAGAACTGTCCAGCCTGTTTAGCTTTGCACAGCTTGGCTGAAATCACCCTGCAATTTAGTGGTAAAATGCTGACCACAGCAGTTAGGCGAGAGGCAATAGGAAAAGCATTCATGTCTGATGGCTACTTGTTATTTCTTGATATTCGAAACAATACAAAAAGTTTGCTTCCTCACTATCACTGGAGAATGGGGATCAAAACATGAAAAGGAGGAGGAGAAAAAGAAGGGCAAAGATATCACAATAGTAGAAAGTGTTCTTGCTCCACATACCCCCACTGTTTTCTTTGTCCAGTTTTAATAAAAATTCTTCCTGATTTTTCATTGAATTGCCACATTGTTTCAATTTTGGTTTCTTTTGAATCTACTTTTTCCTGTTTTTTGTACCTTTCAATTTATATCCATGTTTGGCAATTATATTCATTTTCTAAGATGGATGTTTAGACAGTACATTCATCCAAATGTCTCCCAATATTTAATTTCATACAAGTGAATTTTTTAAAGCTTTTCTCCTTTGTTATATATATATATATATATTGGGTGTAACATCAGAATTGTTCAAATCATGTAACAGCATGTGATAATTGTTCATCCCACAAAATGTTTAATATCTACAAAATCACTAAACTGATTGAGATTTATTTTTCCGTTTGGTGTAAGAATCACTGAAAATTCTTTAAGTTATTCAGCTAGAAAGAGAATGTGTTAAAATCATTTTGTGTCAGCCCCACTATGTCTTTCCAACTGAGCAAAGATGAGAGGAAAAAGATCATTCAGGCCTTCACTAATGTTTGACAACATTCATACTCTGTCTTCCATATTCTAAGTTCATTCAAGAACCATCAAGAGAATGGTGAATAAGTTTAAAAAGAGGAAAGAGTAGAGAGGAAAACTGGATCAGAAGGCCACAACGGGAAGAGGGATCATCATTTCAACTTAGAGCTAAATACATACTTATTGTTCAAAGTAAAGTTTAATAGTGCTATAAAAACCTTGGAGAATTCCAGTAAATTATCTTTACTCATTTCTAAGATACAACAGTTCAAAGCTTAATCTAATAATTGGACAATTTTGCTGTTACACTCAGTATATATATATATATATATATATATATATATATATATATATATATATATAAAACAATAATAATAGCCATCTACTCATTTCTGAGCACACCTGTTTGCTAGGTGGATAGCAAATTCCCCATTACAAACACTGGATCATGGCACATTTATGTTTGTTCAATACTCACAGGGCCAACCTGTGGTTTATACTGAAACTATACTGAGCAGACCTTAGTAAATGTTACTGTGAGAGAGTGCATTATATGGTGTGATCAACAGTTGGTAAGCAGGCTCAAACCCTTGGTCACAATGACTTCTGACTTTGTGTTAGCACAGACATTGATGACTTTGGAATAGTTCCATCTATCCAATCAGAAATTTTAGGCCAATCAGTGGTATGATTTTCAGGCACTTCATGTGTGTGAGTGTATGTGAGTTACAAGTAATTTTTACTTTTGAAGAATAATGTTGATATGCAAAATCCTGAAATTATATATTATATATATATATATATATATATATATATATATATACACACACACAGAGAGAGAGAGAGATGTTCAGTAAAGTTAAGCAGCAAACATTCTTTAAGACAAATATTATTAAAAACAACTAACATTTTGTGTTCATTAATTTTACTGATCAACTTCTCCAAGTTAAGAATAATCCTTCTCAGGCAAGGAGGAAATTGCATCAGAAATTGTTTGCAGTTGATTTTGGAATAAAGTATGAGAAAAACGATCCAAGTTTTCAAATTTCTTTAGTCGTCATCAGGGTAGGTAGAGACAACTGGTCAGTTTGTAGAACTAGTGAGTGTTCTGATGTAGTAAGCAAGGTGTGATGGTCATATTTTTATATATATTTGAGGATGCAGACTCTAAAGTTATAATTGCTTTTATTTGTAGATGGTTGTTTTTGTGGTATTAGTATTGCTTTAAGGATCATAGGTCTATTTTGACTATTCAATTTTGCTAGTATTTGGGTATTGTTTGTGAGTAGCAGTCTCATGTTACTATGATCCTTATGTTGTTTATTAATGTGTTGTCTGATGGCACTCAGATTCAATAGCAGGCACATAAGACTCCATGAGAGTGTGGTTGTAGTATATCCTATGTAAGTCCAATTTGTCTCTACCTACTCTGATTATGACTTAAGAAAGTTGAAAGACTGAACCATACTTCTTATACTTTTCTCTCAAAATGAACTTTAGACAATTTCTGATAGAATTTCTTCCTTGCCTGAGAAGGATTATACACAATTTAGAAAAGTTGATCAGTAAAATTAATTAGCACTGGTTAGGGGTAAACATTAGTATAAAAATGTAGGTAAACATTAGTATAAAAAATGTGGGTGAACAGTAGTATAAAAAAATGTAGGTGAATATTAGTATAAGAAATGTGGCTGAACATTAGTATAAAAAACAGGGGTAAACATTAGTATTAAAAAAATCATCACATGATGATAATTAGCTATTATCTGTAACTTAAAAAAACAGATTTTAAATTGTTTTCAGGAAAAACAAATTGACCTCTTATATTTACTATGTATTTGAATCTCATAAAGAAGGCTGTAAACAGGCTGCATGTTTTATTTTTTTTACTAAAAACTCAAAGATAACAATCAAAGCCATTTTCAATATCCATAATAAGCCAGGATGGAAAAATACATTGTTAAAGTTAAAACTCTTATTGAAATGAAGAAAACTATAAAGAATGTAAACACAAAACCAAATGAAGAACAATTTTCTTTATAAAAAAATATGTGTTGTTTTTATCATTATTTTCCCTGAATAACAAGATCAGGTTCAGTATACTAAAGAAGAAAGTAATTATTTTCTTTGAACTCATTGATCTCTGATAAATATCATCTTAAATATAATCTATTTTTAATGCAAAAAAAATTACTCCAGCAACAAAACATTCTCTGCCCACATAATTGCATGAATTTGCTGTCTGAATTTATCAGGCAAGAATCAGATGAGTAAATTTGCCAGTGTCTATATCATTTATCCATTTCGGTGCACACATTCAAATAATGATCTCATTTGAATAACTGCTATTATTTTTTTACTAATTCTATCCTTGGTTAACCATTTTGGAAGATGAGTAGAATCATGACTTTGCTCTCATTAAATCAAATGTTTAACTTAACAATTTCTGTCTGAAATTCTGGGATGAGGAGTTATTTATCTCTACTGCCTGAAATCTCCTTTTTCATCTGTTTGGTTCCCTTTTCCTTGAACATTCCTCATTGCTCACATGCTCCATCTATGGTATTCTCGGCATTCCTTCTCTAGAAAAACATCTCTACTGCCTGAAATCTCATCTTTCATCTGTTAGGAAATTTTCTATTCAATTTTATAAGTGTCCTTTTTTTGGTTTCCTTTTCCTTAAAACTTCCTCATTGTTCACACACTCCATCCATGGTATTCTTAGTAACTTCCTATATAATCAAATCTCTGTTACCTCCTTTTTATCTATGAGGAGATTGTTCAGGATTCACTGCCATAGAAGTGGATTCATATTATGCAACAGTTCAGAACT